TGATTGAATCTATCCATGGATACTGAAGGAGTCAAGGGAGATTGCGGGAGTCTTGACATAGGTCTCTGTATCCTCTTCAGCCTCAGGCGAGGTCCCAGAACACTGAAGAATAGTAAATGTTGTTCCTTTGTTAAATAGAGCAACAGAGGTAATCCACAAAATTATAGGCCAGTGAGCCTTACATCTGTGGTAAGGAAATTATTGAACAAGATTCTTAGAGACAAGATTTACACTAATTTGGAAAAGATTGGACTTATTAGGAATAGTTTGCATTTCTTTATCACAAACTTAATTGAATTTGTTGAGGAAGTAACAAAGATGATTGATGAGAATAGGGCAGATGTTGTTTACATGTACTTTACTAAAGCTTTTGACAAAGCTCCCTCCAGAAAATTAAGTTATATGGGATCCACAGTGAGTTGGTAAGTTGCATACAAAATTGACTTGGTCACAGAAAACAAAGTTAGTTGTGACTGGGTGTTTCTCTGACCAGTGGTCTTCCACAAGGATCAGTGATGGAACCTCTGTTGTTTGTAATATATATAAATGATTTGTATGAAAATGTAGGTGGTCAGATTAGTAAATTTGCAGATGACATGAAAACTGATTGAGTTGTGGATTGTGAAGAGGGTTATCAAAGGATATAGATCAGTTGGAATGTTGGGTGGAGAAATGGCAGATGCAGTTTAATCTGGACAAGTGTGAGGTGATGTATCTTGAGCAGTCAAACGCAAGATGCATGTTTACAGGAAATGGCAAGACCCTTCGGAGCATCAATTTAATACAACAATCTTGGGGTGAAAGTCTATATCCCTAAAAGTGCCAACACAAATGGATATGGTGGTAAAGGCAGAAAATGGTATGCTTTCCTTCATCAGTCAGGACATTGAGTAAAGAAGTTGGTAAGTCATGTTGCAGCTGTATAAAATCATAGTTAGGCCATGTTTGGATATTGTGTGCACTTCTGGTCACACTACAGGAAGGATATGGAGGATGTGGAAGATGGTTACTAGGATCCAGATTGGGGTGTGTTCACTATAAGGAGATGTTGGACAAACATGGATTGTTTTTGTTTGAGCATTGAAGGCTGAGGGGTGATGCTGATAGAAGTATATAAAATTATGAAAGCCACTGATAGTCTAGTTTCTTTCTCAAGGTGGAAATGACAAATACTAGGGTGCGTAGATTTAAGGTGAAAGGGGGAAAAGTTTAAAGGAGACTTAGAGAGAACCTAAATATCACTCTTTGAAATTTAGTGGCTTTAACACCGCTGAATCCCCGACTATGAACATCGTGGGGTTACCATTGACCAGAAATTGACCTGCACTAGCTAGATAAATGCTATGGCTACAAAAGCGAGTTGGAGATTAGGAATCCTGCAGCAAGCAATTCTTCTGCTGATTCACCAAAACCTGTCCTTTTTTTTAATTCATTGGATTAGGACATTGATGCCTAGGCCAACATTTATGCCCATCCCTAATTGCCCAAAGGGCAGGTAAGAGTCAGCCACATTGCTGTGGGTCAGGAGTCACATGTAGACCAGACCAGGTAAGGATGGTAGATTTCCTTCCCTGAAGGACATTAGTGCACCAGATGGGTTTTTCCAACAATTGACAATAGATTCATGGTCATCATTAGCCCCTTAATTCCAGATTTTTTTTAATTGAATTCCAATTCCACTTGAATTCCAATTCCACTCGAATCCCCAGAACATTACCTGAGTCTCTGGATTAATAGTCCAGTAATAATACCACTAGGCCATCAGCTTCCCCCATCTACAGGGCACAAATCAGGAGTGTGAGGGAATACTCTCCACTTGACTGGATGAGTGCTGTTACAACAACATTCAAGAAGCTTTACCACACTCAGACAGTCCACTTCACTGGCACCACATTCATGAATATTCACTTACTCTACTACTGATGCTCAATAGCAACAGCGTGTACCATCTGCAAGATGTGCTGCAGAAATTCATCCAGGCTACTTAGACAGCATAAGATAACAAGATGTGGAGCTGGATGAACACAGCAGGCTAGGCAGCATCAGAGGAGCAGGAAAGCTGACGTTTCAGGTCTGGACCTTTCTTCAGAAAAAAAGGGTTAAGGCCCGAAACATCAGCTTTCTTGCTCCTCTGATGCTGCCTGGCCTGCTGTGTTCATCCAGCTCCACATCTTGTTATTCTCAGACTCCAGTAGCAGCAGTTCCTACTATCTACTTAGCATGTTCCAAACATATGACCACGTCAGTCAAGAATGAGAAAGTAATATATGGGAACACCATCACCTGCAAGTTCCCCTTTAAATTATTCACCATGCTGACTTGGATATATATTGCTGTTTTTTCATTGTCACTTGGTTGAAATCCTGGAATTCATAGAATTCCTACAATGCAGATAAAGTTCACTCAAGTCTGCACCTACACTCTGAAGAACATCCCACCCAGACTCTCACCCCCAACCCTGTATTTACCATGGCTAATCCACCTAGCCGACATATCCCTGGACAGTATAGGGCAATTTAGCATAGCCAATCCACCCAACCTGCACATCTTTGGACTCTGGAAGGAAACTAGAGCACCTGGTGGAAACCCACGCAAACATGGTGAGAATGTGCAAACTCCACACAGCCACCAAAGGCTGGAATCAAACCTGGGTCCCTGGTGCTGTGAGGCACTAGTGCTAACCACTACGCCACCAAACTGCCCCAATTCCCTCCAATTTTCCCTTTAAACTGTGTCAGCTGTGTGCGCATGCAGCCGCTCCAATGTCCTGCACGTGGCAAATAGCATCAACACAGCGATCACGGCATTGACATCCAGTTCTGAAATTAATGGCATTGTGGGTCTACCTATACCAAATGAACGACAGCAGTTGGAGAAAACAGATCATCGCCACATTCTCACGGGCAACCAGGGCTGACCATACTTGCTAACTTTCATTCAGTAACTCTTCCAAATTCCAACCAGTTTTGCTCTGGGTATGGTCTTCAGGTTTTCAACTGTTGATAGGCTGAATGGCTCATATTTGCAGAGTTTATCCCACTCCCTTTTTGTGAACATTTCCAATCCTATGGACCTCTGATATCCCTTCCTTTTACAGGGAAGATAGCAAGATTATGACCAGAGGATCCAAATTTTATTGCCAACCTTTTAACTACTTTCTTTATTTTGTCTAATCCAATGTTGGCATTGCTCTTAGTCGAACACGTGTGACTTATTGTAATCAACCCGTTCAGCGATGTTGTCGCCAACATCTATGAAGCGGTTGGGACTTGAACCGAATCTCCTAGCTCAGAGGTGAGTCACAAGAGTCCTTAAATTAGTATTTCATTTGCTGCTGTGGTGGGATTTGAACACAGGTTCCTGTAGCATTGGCCTTGAAAAGCGTTGCGTGTCGGACGCTTGTTTCATTGTGAGTATGCAATCTTACGTTAAGCGTCTCAAACCACGTCCCTTCTTCCAAGAAATAATTTTAGTTTCTTATTGTCGCCACCCTGTTATAGATTAACTCCTACATCTCAATGATGAATGCAATTTCTTAGCAAAACTATTAGACCACAATTATCCTGCACTGAATTGCTACTCTGCACCCAGATGTCGGTGACCCTGTTACTAAAAATCATCTAGCTAGCAATGGGCACGTTTAAAACTGAAAATGCTGGAGAAATTCGGGTGATCGGGTATCATCTGTGGAGTAGCACGGAAGAGTTCGATATAACTCTTCTGGGAAAAGTCGTATCAGACTTGAAACATTAATAGATAACAAGGTGTAGAGCTGGATGAACACAGCAGGCCAAACAGCATCAGAGGAGCAGGAAAGCTGACGTTTCGGGTCTGGACCCTTCTTCAGAAAACCCTTCTTTCTGAAGAAGGGTCCAGACCCGAAACATCAGCTTTCCTGCTCCTCGGCCTGCTGTGTTCATCCAGCCCTACACCCTGTTATCTCAGATTTTCCAGCAGCGGCAGTTCTTACTATCTTTGAAACATTAATATTGTTTTTTCTCTCCACAAACGCTCGACTGGTTTCTCCAGCACTCTCCTTTTATATTTCAGATCTTTAGCATCTGCAGCATGTTATTTTAATTGGGCAATTATCACAATTAGGATTGCAGTCAGACAGAGGGCAAGTCACTAGGGTCCAGCAAGTGTCCGTTCGCTGGGCCATATTTGTGCATAAGTTTTAACTCTCAGGACGAATTTCATCCGAGGAGTATGGATCGATCTGACTTTGAATTCATTCTGCAGCGGGCAAGGTTAGTCAAAGTAACGATGTGGTTAATCAGGAACTATAAAGACTTGCTCTGTCATTGAAAGAGCATGACATTGAGAGGTCTTGTGGAGCACCTCATACCTTTACAATAAAATGACGTGCCACCTTCCGGAACCGGAACATCATCTGACACTTCCGGCGGTTCAGTGTCTGTTTCCTGGGGTTGAACACGGTTATCCACTCGGAATATCTCACTCACTCACTGACCACCCGCAATCAGGCTGGGGCCTGGGGTAGCTCGGAATATCTGATAGCCCTTAGACCGGAGCCCGGAGCCGCCGTCTGTAGCAGAAGGTAAGAAACTTACTCCTCTCTCTCTGCCAGACCTGAGTGGGCAGGGCCTGATCTACAGTATCGAGTTGAGCCGGGCGCGCTGGCTGGTGTCTTTTGTTTTTGCATCAGTGATTAAGTGAGAGAGAGAGGCATACACCTCCTGTTCATCCACGAGGAGACCCTGCTCGGTATGTTGAGGGGTCTTGTGGGGTGGGGGAGGATGGGGGAGACTTGTCCTTGGAGTAGAGGGTACGAAGAGAGGAATTTGAAAAGGCCTGTATACAGTACTTTCCTGCTCCTCTGATGCTCCCTGGCCTACTGTGCTCTTCCAGCTCCACAGTGTTATATCTGACTCCAGCATCAGCAGTTCTTACTATCTCTGTACCCTCGGTACCCTCTGTGGTTATCAGAAGCCATTTGAAACCGCTGACGCTCCTTCGGAAAGTGTATAGAGGAAACACGGCAGCCAATTTACACACCAAGATGCCACCCCAGCACCCCTCCCCCCATCTAATTTCTCCAATTCCTGTCTAACTCTGTTGTAGTTAGCCTTCCCCCAACTTAAATCTTACAGAATTATGAGCATTGTTCCCAAAATGCTCGTCCTCTGAAACTTTGATCATCTGGCAAGGCTCATTACCCAATATAAAGTCTATTGTGGCCCCTTCCCTCGTTGGGCCATCTACATATCTTTTTCCAGAAACCCTTCTGGAAGCACCTAACAAATTCTGTCCTATCTAAGCCCCTGGAACTAAGGGAGAAATCATCCACTACACAACCCTGTTGTTCTTAGATCTCTTCCATGATCTTAGATATCTGTTCCTTTAACTCCCATTGGCTATTAGGAGGACTATAGTTTAACCCTATCATAGTGCAATCACTATCATAGTGATATTGGGATTGGAGTTGTATCAGAGAGAAGGAAATTAATCTGTTTGGAGATGAGTGTTGGTGGATGGTGAAGGTGATCAACCTGAAGACGCTGATGTATACTACTAATAACACTCCTGGGTAGTTTTGCCATTGGTCAGTGGGCTGTTCAGTAACTGCAACTACTCACTTTTTTAAAAAAATGCAAATCACACAACAATGGTGCACAAAGATGCCATTCAGCCCATTGTGTCTGCACCAGGTCTGTGTATTTTGAATTTATGTCAAACTCTTGCACTTTCCCCATTGTCCCACATGTTTTTATTTAAATAACCATCCATCAGGTAAACTTGACTCCACCATACTTCCAGGCAGTGCATTCCAAACCCGCATCCCACTCTGTGAAAGTTTGTTTTTCTTATCTTGCAACTGCTTCTGTTGAAAAATGCTTTAAGACTGTGACCTCTGTGACTTTAAATATGTTGGGTTCTGAAGAAGGGTCACTGGACCGAAATATTAACTCTGCTTTCTCCCCAAAGATGCTGCCAGACCAGCTGAGTTTTCCCAGCAATTTGATTTTTGTTTCTAATTTTGTTTCTAATTTCCAGCATCTGCAGTTCTTTGAGATAGTAAGAACTGTTGATGCTGGAGTCTGAGATAAGCGTGGAGCCGGAGGAACACAGCAGGCCAGACAGCATCAGAGGAGCAGGAAAGCTGACCTTTTGGATTGGGACCCTTCTTCAGAAATGGGGGAGGGGAAGGGGGCTCTGAAATAAATAGTGGGGGGTTGAGCTGGGTAAGGTAGGTGGGATGGTGATAACAGGTAGGTAATGGTGGGGATTCGTCAGTGAGGTGGGAGGAGCGGATAGGTGAGAGAGAAGATGGACAGGTCAAGGAGGTGGGGATGAGTGGGAGGGTTGGTCTTGGGATGAGGCCGGGGTGAGGGGGATTTTGATGCTAGTAAAGTCCACATTGAGACCATTAGGTTGTAGGCTTCCAAGGTGGAATATGCATTTTGTTAGATATGTTGGGTGTTGGTTTTGTAACATAATTCCATCATAAAGCTGGCCTAACTCCTTCATATACTAATGTATTAATCATCTGTGATCTTCTTTCCTTTTTTTTAGCTAGTGCTGACAAAATTAAAAACTAATCAATGAAGCTTAGTGTATTGGTTTCAGAGGAGGGGGTAAAGAGGAAAAGGGTGAAGAACAAACTTGAGGACTTGAATTTGTTAATTTTATTTTGATGCACTGTAGATTTGTTGATGTAAGTTCGAACAAGAATGGCTGTTTCCTATAACCTCAGGATAATGAAGTACTCAAGTGTAGCAATGGAGGAAGTGCAGCACCCAAATTGTGGCCAGTAAGGACCCACAGTTGGCAATTTGGTAATCACCGGATAAATATTGTCCTGTGCACTGTGAAACATTTTCCTTCTGCCAATGGAAAATATTGAAATAACAAAGCACACAGACTTGAATCTGGATTTTGTGGCAGTAATAATAATAGGGAAATTGTCCCCTTGCTTTAACAGAAATGTAGAAGAAAACACCTGAGGCTAGTTTCTGAATCACTGTTTCACAAAATAAGTATCAATACTGGTTTATAGATTTCTGGGCAGCCTGATTTTCCAAAAAGTAGTTTCTCTCTGAATTGTTTACAGTTATTTTGTTGTAGTAAATAGGGACAAATATTTGTTCACCATTAATATCACTAGAACTTATAACAACGTTTGGCTGGGGTGTTTTTAAAGTTAACTTGCAAAAGGTGTATTGAGTGGTTTGATTTTCAGAGGAAGAATTGTACAGCATAAAAGATAGCCACTTGTGACCCATTGTACTTGCACTGGCCCTTTGAAATGGAGCATATTTTTCAAGTTATTCTTGAGTCTACTACTACCACCACTCTTCCAAGCCAACTTTTTTTTTTTTTTTTTAAAAACCTTTTTTTTTACCAATTGTATTAAATCTGCCTTTTGTTTCTCACTTCCTGCTGGCTTCTTCCTATTTGCTTTGTCAAGTATTTTTAAGTATCCCTCTCCGTCTTTGCTTGAAGGTGCATAACCTCAGCTTTTCAAGTATCATCCAAAAACTTGTTTTTTTTTTTGTCTTTGGTATTGTTCTATTAAATCTTCACTGCATTCTCTCCAAGATCTTGACTTTCAATGAAGAATTCCCTTTTCATCGCAGTCATCAATAGCTGTCTCTTCTCCTGCACTCTACAGGGAGACGAAACACAACCTCTCTATCAGCCCTGTTTAAACCCCCTCAGGATCTTGTGTTCCAATAAGATCATTCCTTGTTCTCCCTTAATAAAGGTCATTGTGCCAAGCAGGAGCTCATGGCATAGGTGAAAGAGTCTAGCATGGATTGGCTAGGAGACGAGTATGTGTAATAAATTGTTCTTTGTCAGATTGGCGGGATGTGATGGGTGGGGTCCTGCAAAGATCTGCCAATCACATCCCGCCCTTTGATCCTCTCATCTAAAATTGTAAAAAGATAAAGGCATGCAGGTCACTCAAGGAAAGTATATTGTAAAGAGGACATGAGAATGTAAATAGCGATCGATATGTTGAGTGAGTTGAGATGATAAACACAGTGTGAAGGAAGTGAGATAAACAAGTTAATCTGATGAAGGGGGAATAAATTACTTCGGAGTATTTTTATTTTGCACTTGTTCTGTATTATGCCTTTTTTGCTGTCATGTGACTCGTCTGTTGTACAGTGCTATTAGAAGTGGGCATGTGATCCACTGAGTCTTCAGGGACATTTTAGAAACTGAATTGTTTTGAGGAACTCTGAAATATGATTTCTGGTACTTTAAAAATGAGCCAACTGGGAATAGAGGTCAGTGCAAAAGTCTCTAAGCATGTATATACAGTTCTCCCTATCACTGAGCTTAGTATGCATAAACCAGACATTGTTTTGCATGACAACATTTTGAGGGTGCTATTTTTTTCATACATTTGTCTGCAGGAGTCATATTTCCATTAAGACCAGGATAGCTGCTAACTGGGAACACTGTTCAAAATTGCATCCATTCTGTGGTAAGACTCTCTTGCAAACTGGTTCTCTTCATATTATCCACAGTACTCCAGTTTATTGATCTTTCAACCAATCTCAATCATTGTAAAACCAGAATTTTATTTCATTGCTTTTAGAGAGACCTCGCTCTGTGCAAATTGGTACCACGTTTTTCCATTACAGCAGTACCTAACTTTAGACTACTTCTTGGCTGCATAGTGCTTCAGGGACTTTTATGTTTCTTTACTGTTTGATGTGATATAGATGTCAGTGGCGAGGCCAGCATTGATTTTCCCATCCCTAATTACCCTTGAACTGGCATGGGGGTTCTTAGCCCATTTCAGAGGGCACCTAAGATTCAAACACATTGAGGTTCTGCATTTGCAAGTAGGCCAGATGAGGATGTCAGCTTCCTTCACTAAAGGGCATTAGTGATTGAAGTAGGTTATTGCAATGATTGATAGTTTTGTGGTTATTGACTGAAATTAGCCTTGTATTCTAGAATTTAAATTCCACTAGCAGCCAAAGTAGGATTTGAACTTGCGTCACCAGAGCATTAACTTGGGCTTCTAAATTGTTAAACCAGTGATTTTAGCATTATGACCTCAGGAGGGAAGATATGGCATAAAAGGTGCTTTTATAAATGCAAGTTTTCACAGAAGACTGGCATAAGTCTTGGACTCGAGTATGTTTTTCTATTAGGATGCCCATGCCATTTAGCCCCAGGAGCCTTGTGGTTGAGCTTCATCTCTAGTCAATTTACCCTGTTTTGACCCACACTCCTTAATACAGTTAACAATCTTAACTTTGAAATTTTCAATTTTCTTAACCTCCAGCTATTGTTTTGGGCTTGTGGGGATTAGAGGGGCTGGGGGTGCACCAAATTTCCACTACTGTTTATATGAATGCATGCTTCTGTATATCACTTTTGGATAGAAATGAAGAATGGTATTGGATTGGCCTTTTTAAGTTAGTTTTTTTTTTGCACCTATTTGCCAACTTGTAGTGACTTCTGTGCATGGAGCACTGAACCTCTGCTTTTCTAGTTTTCTCATTTTTGATATTTTTTCACTAGTTAATACTGGCTGCTCTAAGTAACCTGTGGTTTTTCAGAGCAGATATTAATGTTATCATGATTTGCACCCTCTTGTATGCTTGATAGTACAGAAATTCAGACATCTTAGTTCCTTTATCTTTCCCTTTTTTGATGTGGAGGTGGCAGTGTTGGCCTAGGGTGGACAAGGTCTGAAATCACCTGATGAAGGGGCTATGCTCCGAAAGCTTGTTTACAAATAAACCTGTTGGACAATAACCTGGTGTCGTGATTTTTGACCTTGTTCTCTTTTTTTTGAAAAGAGGTGTTACATTGGCTACCCTTAACCAACACACACTGTATTTTCAACTAATGTGTTCAGAACCTCTAATATATCCTTCAGAATTTTAGGATGTATTCATAGAATGTAGTCATGGAGTAATTACATTTCTGAATGAGTAATCCAGAGAGCATGGGCTCAGATCCCACCAATGACAATTTAATCAGCTTTCACCAAAAATTTGGAAATTCAAAATCTGGAACTAGAACAAGTGAATGAAACTGTCAGATTATCTTTAAATCTTGCAATTTTGCTGATGTCCCTCAGGGAGGGAAATTTGCTCTTGTTAGCCCCATGTCAATGTGATTACTCAAATCCGTACTGAAGTGGCCTATCAAGACAGTTGACTTGTAGCAAAATGCTTTCAGCTGACCACAACCAACAATGGTTGGGCAAATAAATATTAGCGATCTTCTCATCACAGGAAGGAATTTTAAAAGTGTAGCCAGAGGTTGATGCCTTTTTAGCCTCAAGTTCCTCTAATTTTTCAGGGCAATTATATCTGCAGTAGCGGTTATCTTGTCTAATTGCTATGTTCTACTGTGCCTGACTGTTATTGCTGCACTCATGAAAACTAACTACTTCAGCACTACTGTCAGCTAGTAAGTTCAGGTGGGATGCAACTTGCAAACAATGGTTTTTGTATAACAACAAATGGCAGAGAGTAGCTCTTAGAACTGAGTGTGAAGTAGAGGTGTAGTTGGAAATTGCCCCATCATCTGCAATTCCGTTCAGGATTGGTGGGTGTCGACATATGCAATGTGCAATACTTGGTAAAATTCACTGCTTAATACGAGATTCATCACTGCTTCTTTGTCAAACTAAGGTCCACTTAAAAAAAACACATGAGTATGCTGGATACTACACTTTGTCTTTTAGATTACTTTCATTTCAGTCTATTTCTATATAACTAAAACCATTAAATTGTATTTCTATTATTGTATTTTTCTCAATTGTCCAAATACTTCTCCATCTGGTCTAAAATAAACTTTTCTTGGAGAACGTTTCCTTCATTCTTCCTTTGTTCTGGTCCAGTGAACTCGGCTTTGCAACATACTCTCATCTACTCTACACTTAGAATCTGTGTTTAATATAATCACTAACCCCATATTTTTATTGCGCTTTTGTTATTTGGAATGTTCTATTCAGAATCCTAATCTCTTTCTTTTTATTCTTTCATGGGATGTGGGCATCACGTGCAGTTGTCCATCCCTAATTGCCCTTGAATTGAGTGGCTTCCTTGGATATTTCAGAAGGCAGTTAAGAGTCAACTATATTGCTGGGGTCTGGAGTCACATGTAGACTAGACCAGACAAGGGTAGCAGTTTTCCCCCACCCCCACCCCCCAAACAAAGGATGTTCGCCGCCTCAAGACTGCATAGTGGTTTATGCCTTGTTTGCTTTTGTTGTTTAAAACGTTTTATGAGAGCATCTTCTAACCTCCTTGTTTCAGTTCCTCCTCTGGATCTGTTCTCTTTGTAGCATTGTGGCTGGACCAATGGCAAAGTACAGAAAAAAACATTTCAAAGTGTTTTTTTAATGCAATTCATTTTTGTTTCTTTTTGCAAGTAGTCTGTCTTCCTTTCTGCCATCTACTGCATTGTTTATTTAAGACAGGAAGATGTGGGACTTAGCAGTAGAGAAGCTGTTGACACTTGTGATGTTGTATCGTTGCCTGATTTGGACCCCACAGGAGATGAGAATAAGAGTACAACATTGAATGCACAGGTTCAGTGTCACTTTCTAAATGGAGGGGGCTCTGCTTTTGATTTAACCAGTCAACTGCAAACTAAACCCGTGACCAGTATTAACCTGTTCATGCACAGTTATGTCTGACTTTTACTCGGCTCTAGAAAAGTGTCTGGGTAGGTCACTTATTAATTTGGTGTCTTCTAGCCACATCAGAGATCTAGTTTAGTTGAGTTATGATCAATATGTGGGATGTTCAGTCAAATTTCTTTTCAAAGTTTTCTTCATAAATCTCCATAGTAGAAAAGAATAGAACAAGTTAACTGACAATTATGATTGTTCCACTGGAACACACATGCACAGCACTAAACTGATACTAGTGAAATTTGGTGCTTTGTGAGTGCACGTGCTACATCAGTACTTCGGGATTAACCCCCCATTCAGATTGTTCCTGTCCTATTTTTATGATTGGTAGAGTAGCTGTGAATCTGGTATGGTTTAATCTGTGATCTAACTTTATATCTGAGTCTTTGATAGATACCAAGATTGGAAAATGTCCCCTTTTCCGAATGGGTATTTGCCAATGAAGTTCTTTGATTTTTAAATATTGTCTGCCTCATTGCAATAAACTATTACAAGATATCCTTTTTTAATAGAAAAGAAGGTACTGACGTATAGCCTAATATTGCCACAAGGACTAGATGGTGCTTTAATATTTAAATACTACAGATTTGTGTAAAATTTAAAATGTGCATTTTTCTTCAAGCTGCTGCCAAAATGTCTACACCGCGACTTCAACGTACAATGTCCCGAACAGGTGAAAGTTTATACAAATCGCTAGGATTGGAGAAAGGTGCTACGCCAGAGGAGATTAAAAAAGCATATCGGTATGAAAAATTAACTATTTTATAAATAGTTGAAGCCGTGATTATTTGATGTTGACATTTTTCCAGTAACTTCCCTATAAATTTGGTGTCATTGAGGAGAGTAGCATTTTATCATTAAATATTCTGAAATATGAAGTTGCAAAGCATTCTTACACTGTTTACAGATTTGCAGTACAGTGAGTTCTCACTGAGGTGACTCGTCTCTATTTTGCTTTCGCATTGTTTAAAATGTCTATGGGGGAGAGTGTGCTGGCTATGTTAGAGCAGATTTTTCCTGGGTATCTACTAAACTAGGCTAGCTTGTCAGAGCGCTGCAAAGTCTCTGACTAAATTAGAGTTGGGGACTTTTGAAGGGCTCCAGATTTGAAGTATTTGGCTCTTGCGTGTTTAAATTCCCAGGCAATTCCATTGGAACCTGTTTTTGAAAAATTTGCATGGTTATAATGCGATACTCCCTGTCAACTGTGTTAACAATGACAACTTCCTGTTGTAAGATTTGGCACCTTAAATTAGCAGGTACTTGTGTTGCCATTACTTCGAACATTTTTGGTTCTCTTGGGATTAGAAGTCTCCCTTTGCACTGGTTGCCTGCCATATGGGAATTTGGGTTGTGCTTAAAAAGAAGATGCAAAAAATTCAATTCGTAGTCAAGAATGTTCAACTGTAGATAAATAGCCAGTACTTGTACAGCTGAGCTGCCTGAAATTACTGAGCAGATTGTGGGGGGGGGGAAAAAAATACTGGTGTATGTACAGGGAAGTTATCTTTGTTGCTAAAATGAATCCCATATTCCAGCAGTAATTTTCAGTATTACAGGTTTTGGTTTTTCTTCCAACCTGATGCAATATTTAATTCAAATATTGCTTCATTGATTGACAGAATTTCTGTAATTTTTTCACTAATCTCTGTATGTTTGCAGAGTTGCTTTTCAGTCAAACATTAGGTCAAATACCAGCATTCAAAGCAGATGTTTGGACAGCAGCATAACATCTCTCCCCACTGTCCAAACATCTGATTGTTGAATACTGGTACTTCACTACCATCTTTAACTGTTCAGGTCGTGTGATCTGCTTTACAGTCCAGATTTACAATGTACTGTTATGATAGAAGCAGTACCTAGTAAAGATGGAGATGTTGTTCCAGATATGTGTTGGAAACGTCTTCCCCCTCCCCCCCCACCCTCTTTCCCTGTGTCTTCGCCTTCCCACACTCCCAAAATCTGCCTCTGTCTATCTCTTTACTGCCCTCATTCCATGCACGCTCACACACACACCACCCACATGAAATCTATCATATTATGGTCATTGGCCCTGAAGCATTCCTTCGTCTTCGTCTTCGGCTCCCTAATCAAATCTGCCTACTTACACATTACCAAATCCAGAGTTGCCTGTGTCCTGGTGGTTCTGCCGCAAGCTGCTCCAAAAAAAATTTCATCGACATTCCATAATTTTCTTTCCTTGAGATTCACTACCAATCTGACTTTTCCAGTCCACCTGCATATTGAAGTCCCCATGGTTATTGTATTAGTGCTATTCTTTTTCATGCTAGTGCATGCTTTTTCCATCTCCTGATTCATTTTTTTTCCAACATCATGACTACTGCTAGGAGGTCTGTATACAACGCCTATCATGTCATTTTTTCCTTTGTGGTTCCTCAACTCTATACACATAGATGCTACACCTTCTAACTCCTTATCACTTCTATTGATTTTAATTTCATCTCTTGGTAATGAGGCAACTCTGCTGCCGCTGCCCATCTGCCTGTCCTTTCGCTAAGATGCGTATCCTAGCACTGATCCCCTCTAGCCAAGTTTGTGATACTCGCAACATAATGCCTGTCAATTTCAATCTGTTCTACAAGCTCTGTCACCTTGTTTAATCTACTCTGTGCATTAAGTACAACACCATCAGTCCTGTGCCCTTGTGTGCTGTGAATGAAATTAGATTCCTGACCCTTTTCATAGATTCTGGAAACTCTAATAACCTCTGCTGAGCACTCGCACCTCCCCCACCAATCCATTCTAAATTATTCATACAGCTGAACCCACTGTTCCATTATTTAGTTGTGTGTCTTGTGTGCTCACTCTCCTCTCTCCGGTCTCCACAAATGCCTCCTGATCTCCTCAATATTTATTTTTATCATTGTTCGCTCAAGATCATTTTGTTTTAATCATCTGTACCTGGTTTGTATTTTGAAGCTGTTATCATTTTTGTCTTCCAACTAGAAAGCTTGCTCTCAAGTATCACCCAGACAAAAATCCAGACAATCCTGATGCATCAGAAAAGTTCAAGGAAATAAACAATGCCAATGCTATTCTGAATGATGATAATAAGAAACGCATCTATGATGAGTATGGTTCAATGGGACTGTATGTGGCTGAACAATTTGGAGAAGAGAGTGTCAAATACTACTTTCTGATGAACAAATGCTGGTTTAAGGTGTGTTGTTTTATTTTTACATCTAGAGTGATTGTATTTTCTTTCTCAAAATCCTTTTACTAACCTGAAATGGTTCAGGTTTCAGTCACTGAACTTTTCTTGCTATTTACATAGCTTTCAGTTTCATTCCCTGCATCAAAATGAAAAGTCACTTGTGACTGACTACACTTGTTCCTTTTACTATTTGGACTACATTGAACTATTTCTAATGTAACTGCATCCTTTTCAAGTAACAAGACCAAAATCGTACATGGTATTCTAGATATGATTTCATCAACACTGGCTGCAATAGAATTTCTCTACTTTTGCATTCCATTCTATAAATGACAACCTTCTATTCAGTTTCCTGATCACTTGCTGCATTTGATTAATTCATATCAATGTTCACTTTGATTCTGGCCTTACCAAATACAATATTAATGATATTTGTATTTAAACTTGTTACCATGCTTTGTGCTTGTTTATTGTTTATTATGTAATGCAGTTACAGAAACCTGTATGTAACTCTTTCTTCCTGTCAACAGGGCCATAAGTCCCATGTTATATTTTCTGAGCCAGACTTACAAGTGATCGTTTTGTAGTGAAAATTTTTGTTTTATTTTGTATTGTCTATCCCTTGTCTTACAGTAATTATGATCAACTCAGGGTGCCATTCCTCTTGTTGTAGCTCTGGCAGGGGCAGACAATAGCTCTGGCCTGTGGCCTTATTGGGCTCTTTGAGGAACTGTGTAGCACAGGGAGAAGTTGAAAGGTTGTGCATGGCCTCAAATCAGTAGAAGTTAAACCAAAATGTTCCAATCAAGCCAGGGGTAGTGAAAGATAATAAAACAAATCTAGCAAAGCTTGATGGGATTTCAGACCACAATAACTTAACAGCACAAAATGGGTGACATTAAATAAGGGCTTCCAGTACTTAACCTGCCACCCTGTCTCCACATCCTTTGTCTTCCCCCGATTATATTCTGGCTTCATTCTTTGTAGAAAAGGGTAAGACTAAGTAAATTGACAGAAGAGATAAATGTGGGGATAAGTTTTATAGATGAAAGATGGATTACGTAAAATTAAAATACTTGAGCACTTTTTAAGTGTGACCCTGCAAAACCTCATTTCAGAGGTTTCCTAATGTCTGAAATGATTTTGTTCACAGTGAGTTAATGTTGACACTTGGATGTACCACTAGCAATAATTCCTTTTTTAAAGCAGTGTAATAATCATTTAATGAAAGTAATTACATGTTGAACTCGAATATTTTCAAAATAATAGAAAGTCTTGTAAAACTGGAATGCTTCAACCAAGATTGTGAAGTTTGCAGTTGAATTTCAAATCAAATGTGGCAAAACCTTTTTTTTTGTTACAAGTCCTGACATTTGATTGAAGACATGTTTAATATTTGATCTGAAATCTTATTGATCCCAGCAAACTCTTTGTAGGTTTTTAAAGAAAGTCAAGCGATGAATGTGTTAAAACAAAAACAGAAATTACTAAATGTTAAATTGTCAGTTGCTCTATTTGTTCTTGAATGTCAGTGCATATAGAAAGCATTCCCTATTTTCTTTACAGTAACTTTTACATTATGTGGCAGGCTGTTCTCGTATGCTGTGGCATTATCACTGGATGCTGTTGTTGCTGTTGCTGTTGCTTCTGTTGCGGAAAATGCAAACCATCAGGAGAAATGGAAGATTACGATGTTATTAATCCTGAAGACCTAGAGGCACAGATTAGAGCAGAGCAAGGGGCAGACGGTGGTAAGTTTATACAAATGGACATTATTTGTTAGCTGTTAATTGATCTTTGATTATAATTTACAACAGATTTACAAACCAATTTAGCAAGAAGGCTTTTCAAAGAATGTTGCCAAATGAATTCTTTTGTTTAAAATTAGCTGACCCTTTTTTGTTTTGTATCATTTGAACTGTAAATAGTATGTGTCAGGTCAATATGCTTAATGATCAGGTCTATTAATCAGTTTTTGAAAATGTTAAATACGATGGTTCAAACACTGCAAATAGTTATATAAATAGTACCCAATGGCTACCAAATGACAACATTTTATCTTCAGTTTTCAACTGTGCTTTAGATAGTTCAATGGTTTTTGTTAATGTACAGAAGTACCTAGAATTTTTTTTCTGAATGGGACCCATGAGTTTAAGAACAAATCCTGCTTTGTACTGTAAATCATTTCACAGTTTAATGCTAATGTTGTACTGCAATCACAATTTTGTATTGCTGACCTGTAGACTTTCAAGCATGTGTTTTAAAAGCTGACATGACATCCAAGACTGTTTGATATTGTCAGTGGTGGGGTAGAATATTCTTCTTTTTAAATTTCTTTACTTCAGGTGACAACATGTTTCATGGTTGAATTGATTGAAAAGCATGTGGTAAAATTAATTTCCATTAAATCCAGCTCTTACTAGCAGTTAACATCAGATGCTCAAACTTGAGAGTAAAACAGTTGATATTTGAGCAGGATCTGTGTAATTCTACAAACTAGTGTATTAGCTTCAATTTTTTTGGGGTCACAATATTAGTCAGGAAGGAAGATTGAATGCAATGTTTTCACCACTCGTCACGGTAGAATGGGCTTTTACCAATGGTCAAGGGCAAACTTGCATGACAGCGATGAGTAACAATCAAAACTGGACCCAGGAATGAATAGCCCAATCATTAGAATCTTTTGCTTGGAAAGCTTCTCCATATTCCAAGATGAGCAGTTGACAAGACTTCAGAAGAAACATTTTGTCACTCCATTTAAATGAATATTTGTTTTCACAGTTAAAATTTAAATGTTTGACCAATGGTCTTGTTGTTAACAATTTTGCAACCCAGAGTAAGCATCATATGGGACGGAGTTAAAAGATTTTTTTATATCAGAATTCCTAAACTTCACATTCAGATTTCTGCACATGTTGACTATTGAGCAATAATTGTCCACAAATATTTTACAGTATCTTGCTGGGTGCAATTTGTTAAATATATTGATATAAACAATAAATCGTCCTGTGATTTATGCCAATGGTTGGTTTGTTTCTTTTTAAAAAAAATCTATTATTTAATCCTGGCATTTTTCTGACATCAAAATATTATGCCAAAGACAAATTGTACCATAGAGACCAATAAAAAACTGAATTTATTTTCATTCAAACACCTTATGCTTTTCCTTTTTAGTGACCATGCCCAAATTCAGATAGGGGATATGTTATAGATCCATTATAGCAAGAAACTAATGTTGGAAAGTGGAAACTAATTACTACGTCTCCTCCTTCACTCCTAATTTAGTGCATACATTGTCAACATTGTCAAAATTGGATTCTTTCAAATTCCTAACGTGGAAGAGTACAGATGTTTACCAGAATTGCAATTGCTTTCTGTTTTTGGGATTTAATTTCATGATGCAAAAATAAATTCATCAAACTGTAGCACAGTAAACTTATTCAAAACTTCTTAATTTGGTAAGAAGAATATAGGAGTATTGGCTATCTGCTTTTGAATGCACTTTCATAATTTTTGGAGGGGAATGGATAGGTATTTCAGTGGTTAACGAGATTCCAGGATGGTGTTTTGCCTCCCTGGTGCTAGAGTCAAGGATGTCTCTGAACGGGTACAGGATATTCTGGAGGGGGAGGAGTAGTTGTGGTATACATCGGTACAAACGATGCACGTTAAAACAAAGGGATGAGTTCCTAAAAGTCGAATACAGGAAACTAGGAAGAAAGTTAAGAAATCGGACCTCGAAGGTAATGATCTCAAGATTACTACCGGTGCCATGTGCTAGTCAGAGTAGAAATGACAGGATATATCGGATGAATACATGGCTGAAAAGATGGTGTTGGGAGAGGATTTCAGATTTCTGGGGCACTGGGACCTGTATAAATTGGACAAGTTACGCCTGGGCAGGACTGGGTCTGATGTCCTAGGGTGTAGTGTTTGGTGGAGCAGTTGGGGAGGGTTTAAACTAATATGCCAAGAGCATAGGAACCTATGTAAAGAGTCAGAGGGAGGGAGCAAGGTCAAAAACAAAAGGTACAAAAGGAAATAAGAAAAGTGATGGGCAGAGAAACAAAGGACAAAATTCAAATAGGCCTATTGAGAAAAATAAGAGCAAAACAAACAATGTTAAAAAGACAAGCTTAAAGGCTTTGCACCTTAATGTGCAGGGCATTTGTAATAAAGTGGATGAACTCTGCACACAGATGTAAAGGAGTGCGATTTATAATTGAGATTCTGGAGACATGGCTGTAGAGTGACCAGGGATGGGAACTGAATGTCCCAGGGTATTCAGTATTTAGGAAGGACAGGCAAATATGAAAAGGTGGTGGAGTGGCATTGCTGGTTAAAGACAACATTCTCACAATAATGAGAGAGGATATTAGCTCTCACATTGTGGAGTCTGTATGGGTAGAGTTGACCAATACCAAGGGGCAAAAACCTTTAGTGGGTGTCATGTATACACCCCCAAACTGCATTGATGTTGGGAATGGCATTAAACAGGAAATTAGAGATGCATATGATCAGGGAATATTGGTGATAGTGGGTGATTTTAATCTGTGCATAGATTGGACAAATCAAATTGGCCATAATGCCATTAGAGGAGAGATTCTGGAGTGTATGGGATGGTTTTCAAGACCAGTATGTGGAGGAACCATCTTGTACTGGGTACAGTGTAAATGAGAAGGGAATCATTGCCAACCTAGCTGCGTGAGACTCCTTGGATGAGTAGCCATAACATGATAGAATTTTTTATCAAGATGGAGAGTGAGGTAGTTGATGTGGGGACTAGGGTGCTGAATCTTTAATAAAGGAAGCTATGAAGATATGAGGCATGAGTTGGCCTTGATAGATTGGGGAGAGTTACATTAAAGGGATGACGGTTGATAGGCAATGGCAAACATTCAAGGAACACATGGGGGAACTACAACAACTTTTTTTTTAATTTCTGACTGGCACAAAAGCAAAATGGTAAGAGGGCCAATCCATGGTTTAGAAAGGAAATTAGAGAGTTTCCAGAAGAAGCATACAGATTGGCCAAGAGAAATAATACGTCTGAGGATTGGGAGCAGTTTAGAACTCAGCAAAGAAGGATCAAATGATTGATTTAAGAAGGGGAAAATATAGTACAAAAGTAAGCCTGCAGGGCACATAAAGACTGACACTAAGGTTTCTGTAGGTATGTAAAGAGAAAGATTGGCGAAGATAAATGTAGATCGCCTACAAACAGAAACTGGGGGAATGTATGATATGGGATAAAAAAAATGGCTGAGCAACTGAATACACCAAAGGACACAAATCAGATACCAGAACTGTTGGAGAAAGCAAGATTTAGCAACAGGAAAGAATTGATGGAGATCAATATTAGTAGAGAAATGATGTTGGAAAAATTGACAGGATTGAAGGCTAACAAAAGTCCAGGGCCTGATAATCTATATCCCAGAGTACTTAAGATCTACAAAGTGGATGCATTGGTGGCCATCTTCCAGGATTGTATAGATTCTAGAACAGTCCCTGCTGATTGGAGTGACATTAGCTACCTTCCAGTATTCAAAAAGGGAGGCCATGACATGGAGGTCCCAGAGCTGAACTGAGGTGGACAAGGTCAAAAACCACATGACACCAGGTTATAATCCAACAGGTTTATTTGAAAACACAAGCTTTCGGAGTCCCTTTCCTTCTGGTGCTCGTGAGCGAGGAAGCAAAAAGACACACAGAATTTATAAGTGAAAGATCAAAGAATCATACACTGATGCAAGTTAAACAAACCTAAGATGCTGTTAAATCTTTAATCAGTTAGAAAGGAGATGCAGGTTTTGATTCATTAATATGCAAATCCCTGAATTTCTGCCCAGAGATAAGTAGAAGTTTTATCAACGAAGAGGTAACATCTCCGGTCAGACAATGCATGTTAGGTGTGAGGCCCTGTCTAGAATCTGTTTGTTTTATCTTGGAGTCAGACTTCTAAAGTAGGAATTTATGAAATGCCACATTGTCTACAAATTACATTCTATTTTGTTCAAAAAGCATATATCTGCAAATGCAAATTCACCCTGTAAACTTGTGTGGTGGGGTCACCTGTAGTGCGACATATTCCCAAGATCCTGGTCAAGGCCGTCCTCATGAGTACCAAACTTGTCTATGAGCCTCTGCTCAGCGACTCTGCATTGTTGTGGATCCCGAAGATTGCCTTGGGGGACGTTTACCTGAAGATCCAAGGCCAAATGTCCTTGACTGCTGAAGTGTTCCCCCACTGGGAGGGAGCATCCCTGTCTGGCTGTTGTTGCACGGTGTCCATTCGTCTGTGTGGTTTTACCAGTATACCATGCCCCCAGGCATCCTTGCCTGCAGCGTATGAGATAGACAACATTGGCCGATTCATGAGAGTATCTGCCGTGCTCGTGGTGGGTGGTGTTCCTGCATGTAATGGTAGTGTCCATGTCGGTGATCTAACATGTCTTGCAGAGGTTGCCATGACTGCTTGTATAGTATTGTGGTTGATTGTTTGCAGCAAACTTCCCAGCCTTCAGGACAACAATGGTCTGTTTAAGGTTTTGCAATTGTTTGAAGGTGAGAAGTGGAGATGTGGGGAAGACCTTGACGAGGTGCTCATCGTCATCGGTAATGTGTTGAAGGCTGCAAAGAACATGGCGTAGTTTCTCCACTCCTGGGATGTACTGGGCGACTAAGAGTACCCTATCGGTCATATCCCGTGTCTGTCCTCTGAGGAGGCCAATACGGTTTTTTGCTGTAGCACGATGGAACTTGTGTTCGATGAGTTGAGCAGCATATCCCGCTCTTATGAGGCCATCCGTCAACACTTTTTTACCCAAACTTATTAAAAGAGCCATCTCCTATGGATGAGCCCTATGTATAGATAGGATCTGCTCCGATGAGGAGGAACATGACAGACATCTGGAAGTGTTGAAGGACATAAGAATGGGATACAATGCTCAACTCCTTGATCGCCAGTTCTGACGTGCCACAGTGGAAAAACTGTATTGACCTCTTCCAAGGACGGCCATGGGATATGACCGGCCCAGTACTTCCCAGGAGTGGAGAAACTACACCATGTTCTTTGCAGCCTTCAACACATTATTGATGACGATGAGTACCTCCCACCACAGCCACCACAAGACTATACAACCCTGTCGTGGGAACCTCTGCAAGATACGTCAGACCATCGACATGTGATGGTAGTGTGCATGTGGGAACACCACCCACCACGTGCACGACAGATACTCCTGTGACTCAGACAGCACTGTCTATCTCGTATGTTGAAGGCAAGAATGCCCCAAGGCATGGTATATTTGCGAAACCATGCTGATGCTATGACAATGGATGAATGGACACAGTGCAAAAATCACCAGACAGGTATGTTTCCTCCCAGTGGGGGATCACTTCAGCAGTCAAGGACATTCAGCCTCGGATCTTTGGTTAAATGGCCTCCAAGGCGGTCTTCGGGATCTACAACAACGCAGAGTCGCCAAGCAGAGGCTGACAGCCAAGTTTGGTACCCATGAGGATAGTCTCCACTTGAATCTTGGGTTCATATCACACTACAGGTGACCACACCATACTATACACTTTTTCACACCCATGTACACAAGTCTATGGGGTGAATTTGCATTTGCAGATGTATATTTGTAGATGCATTCCATTTTGTTCACAAAGCACACAATTTATAGACTGACAGACAGTCAGTCAAAGTGGCATTTTATAAATTCCTACTTTAGAAGTCTGACTCCAAGGTGCGACACAAACAGATTCTAAACAGGGCCTCACACCTAACATGCATTGTCAGACTTGAGATGTCACCTCTTCTTTGATAGAACTTTTATTTATCTCTGGGCAGAAATTCAGGGATTTGCAGGTTTTGATTCGTTGATATGCATCTCCTTTCTAACTGAGTAAAAGATTTAACAGCATTTTGGGTCTGTTTAATTTGCATCAGTGTATGACCCTTTGATCTTTTACTTAAATTCTGTGTCTTTTTGCTTCCTCTCTCATGAGCACTTGAAG